CAGTGTTTCCTGACTGCAGTCATATTTTTTTTTGATTTTTTCTATCAACAAGTTAGCCCTTGAAACCTCTCTTTTTCCACAAATGAACCCTTTTAACCTTTTTTTTTTTAAAGCTAGCACTTTTATCAACATTTTTACAAGGCCCAGTCTTTGTATCCGTTGTTACTCACAAACTAGCACTTTTTTATTTACTTTTTAATAAAAAATCATTTTATCTGGTTATATTTTTGTCATTATCCAATCCGTTTGTTTCCTTTTTATTTATTTTTTACAAGCTAACTCTTTCATCCATTTTTCTATCATCGATTCAAGAGAGAGTGGAAAACAAACATTCTTCAATTTTTTCATTTTATATGTTCCTGGAATGAGTTATATAATAATAAAACGTGCTGGTGTTTAGAACAAACAACGGAATGAGTACAACGGAGAAGTTTACAAATAGAAAATTATCATAATTATTTAAATACGATACTATACTATATATTTGGAACAAGAGTGTTTGGGTGGAGAAACATATTTCTATGGAATTTTATAATCATGTTTCTGGTTCCGAAACTGATATTTTAAGTCGCTACCATCACATAAGATATCGCAGTTATAGGAACAAAACAACACTGTACCACAACATAAGATATGGTGATTTTATGGTGCAATGAACAACAAATAGAGAGAAACACTTTCGCATGAACGAGCACCAATAATGCAATATAGAATCAGCAAGCATAAGTTAGGCCTACCTCATTTTAATTTTACTTTTAGTTTAAAACGTGAAATCACGTTTCGTTTAGTCATTCATATGAGTGTTTTTAATCTAAAAAAAAGTAGTCACATTCTTTGATTTAGTCTATATACATAAGAATTATGCAGTAATATTTTATTTCTTTGCCACTTGGGTAGCCCAGCCTTAGACCAGAGTGTTTTGAAACACTCAGACTTGTGATTCCTGCTTTTTCTACAATATTTTGTTTTTTTACTAGCTGATTTCTAATAACTCGACTCCTTAGAAAAGCATTTCAGAATTTGCTAATTAGTTTATAATGCTGGAATGTAGAGTAGCTATGCTTGTGTTTAGTTTAAATTTTTTTTATTTTTTTCATCAAGCATGCTGTATCTTTTCCTGAGATCTCTTTCCTTATTAAAAAATATATTATTTTTTGTTTGCATGTGACGTAGCTATGGCGTGTTATGACGTCATACCTTCGCATGTTTTCCCATTAGGCGGAAATGACATAGAAAACAGTCCCTCTCCTGCAAAAGCTGACACCCCTAGTTCCTCGTCGCTCACCGTGCTTCAACCTGTTCAGAATACAACATTTAATCCAAACAGCCCATACGATCCCTATGACTCTTATGGACAATACCAAGGCAAGTTATGCCATTGTTGATACGTTATTATAGTGGTCCGTAAACTAAGGTATTCTGAACAGAAAACTGAATATATCCAAGTTGCCATTTCTCAGTGTTTAGCCATCAGTTTAGACGATACACTTTGTTGTTTTTTTCTTTTTAATTCTACTACCTATACTATTTTACCATAGTTTACTGAATATGTTTATTATTATTATTATTCAATAATTGTCACAACACCTATATTTTAGATATCTCTATGTTCTAATATTACAGCTAATTCCCCAAGCCATTCACCATTATCTAGATAATGCCATTTATCTTCATCAATAAATTCATCACTTTTTGTTTTAACCTTATATTTTGAAACAATATTAAAATTTATTTAGCACTATAAATATTTAAGAAAAAGAAATTAATATTGAACTGTTATATTATTTCTTCCTTTCTTTCTTTATTTGTATTCATAATTATTTAACATTTTTACAGAAGGAGGAACATGTATCGTATCAACAGATGTCGCTGGTGACTATACACGTTCCGCCCCATACATCAATTATTCTACTACTTCATCTTATGGTGACAATCAATACGGTTCAAACGATCTCGTCAGTACGTTCCTTTATTTACATACAATTCTCAAATAACAAAATATTTATCACTAATCTAGTAAATATTGTAAAATAACTTTTGGTTTGAATTTCGATATCAGATTCTTGAATTATTAGTTTGGCATATGTAACTTGTAAATGTTTAATATCTTTAACGAGAGTAAACTGTACTAATGTATATTAGCAAAACAGGCCTCAAAAGGCCATGCACCTTTACAACCTTTATGTTTAAATTGAAATTTTAACTCGAATGGTATCTTATCCCCATGAGTGCTAAACAGCCAGGTCAGAGAACCCGAGGGTTCAGAAATAGTGGTTCCGAATTCTAAACTACTGACTAGAGAGAGGACAGCCAGCAGTACTCGCCGCCACTATAAGTATAACTTTGTCTAGGTTTTTCTAACTGAAGAAAAATATTGATTCTCACATTTTATAATGCATCCATATTTGACATTAAAGATCGTGTTTAGCAGAATCCGGTCTCGAACTTTGGAAGTGTCGATCTATATGTGATTCCTTAAAAACTTAAAAGAAACACAGTTATATTTTTTTTGCTTGATTGTATTTCTCTACGTGGTTGTTTAATAGCAACTTATTGCATCACTCATTCCCTTAGTGTATTTTAGATTCCTTTTAGGTAATAGCATATCAATGTACGAGTCTTATAAATATATTTGTAATCGTATTCTATCAATTTTTCAATGTTACGTATTAGAATTTTAAATAGTCCGAAGCCGAGTTAACTTATAATTTAAATTTATTAGTTAAATTGTACTTTGGATTTAGTATTTAAATATATGCCGATATATGGTTAGTTTATGATATTTGCCAACAAGATTGATACACACAGTTTTCTTTTTTAACACAAATACGTTTTAATATATATATATATATATTAATGTTTTCGTAAAAATACTAATGTCCGATGAGAATTCACTGAAGTTAAACGATTTGTAACGTTCGAAATTTGTAAAGATTCCTAGTCAAATATCTTAAGTTTTCCGATTGATAAGCGTTATAACAATCACAGTTATAGCTTTCGAAGTTTGTAGCACACTGAGTATAGCAAACTACTAATAGACACTCTCCTTGGCGCGTCGCGTTGGTTATATTTACAGCCGTAGGAAGGTTTTCTAGAAAATTCAGTCTTACTTAACAATACTGGTTAAAGTGTTTACGTACACACATATGCTTTTGATTCTTACTCTCGAGAATCGTCTACAACTTTGGAGAATAGGCGGGAGTTTCGCAATACATATCTAACACTATAAGCTAGACATATTTTTAAATATAAACTTAATCTAAACAAACGTTGGTATTAAAATAAAGTTATAACAACAAATTCGTTACACCAACTAAAATCAATAACTTTGAAGATAATTGTTCTTGAAAACATTGACATTACTCGAAGGAAGCATTGTAAAGTGGTTTGGGTTTCATAAAGTTTTATGATTTGGTCCTTTTCTTGCATTTCCTGCTATATATTATAGAAATCTGAGTCATAAGCCATCCTGTAAGGTTAATTACATGTTTATAGGAATGAAACATGAGATTCGTGTTTAGTTTCGAATCCGCTTATCTGGCACAGTTGCAGGTTCGAATCCTACAAGACTCAGTTTCCGCTTTTTTTTTTTTAGAAATATTCTCGATATATATATATCGTTACATTCTTGACCTGAAGTATTGGTACAAGTTCATCCATTTTTTTTCTATATTAATGCAGTTGATTTAGATATTATCTTTCTTCTCTGAACTTTGAGTCGAAACTCTTTAAAGGTTTACTTAGTTATAATAATTCATCCATTTTATTTTCAGATCCATCCTATTACTATGTTCTTGGGGCCCGAACATCAGGTCTCCAAACCCCATCTGTCAGCCCTAATTATTTCAAACCGGAAAGGTGTTAGCTCTTCCAAATGAATCCACACATCCAACGCTATGATAAATGGTGGGCGTATTTTGCTCAGGTACAAGAGAGAAAATGTGACAAATTCTATATAGTGAGAATAGCTAAGATGAAATGGAGAATCCGTCATTAAGGTACCTATCACTCTCAACTAAGTCATCTTCAACTGGAAGCAACACGAAACTGTTGTAGTGAATGGCCGCAAAGGCGAGTGAGCGCTATTTGTGTTGATGACGCAATGGAACAACGAATGATAGCTCGTCAAGTTGGACTTAATGTGTTTTCTAAAAATAAACGCAAAAAATAGACTGATTATTGAAGAACGAGATTAAAATTTGGAGATGGCTTGGGAGAAAATGAATTAACTGATTATCATCCTATTTATATGTGCACCATACTTACTTCAATAGTTGCAACGTTATTTTTTATTGCACCCATGCTAGAAAAAAAAAGACATATTTTTGGTTCTTCATTTTAAAAAGCTCATTTATTCCGACTGTTTAAGCCTTATCAAGGCGCTTATAATCAGTATCATACGAAGATCAGAGCTTAATTTTTTTTAAAGTAAGATATGAAGCTTATGCTTTTAATGTTAGAATAAAGTAAATAATTCTCGTTTAACTTAAGACGTAATTTTGACATTTTTGTGCAGATTTCATATATTTTAATGTCGGCGTTTATAAGTAACGACTTATAATTATTTTTCAAAACATTTGATTACTTTTTTTTCTCGCATGACATTCTATACTAGGATAAAAAAAAAAGTCACAACTCATTTAGTCATATTTATATTTCATTGTTTATAAGGTGTATGATTTGATGGGCTTCGATGAATGGGTGTTGTCGTTACGTTGTATTCGATTCACAATTTCTCAGGACTTTCAACTCTCGTTATAATATTTCTGTAACATAAATATTAGATAGTGAATTGCAATATTATATAATGAGTGCACTTGTATGATTAAAATGAAGCAGCTCAGGATATTCTGTGAAAATTAATATAAAATTCTTAATAAATAGAATTGCTCAGTTTAAAGTCTGTTACTTGCTATTTTTCGCTCAGAGTTATTATTGTTCTTGTTGTTGTCCTAACGACGGGGTTGTAATTACACCCAACCCACCCCCTTCAGAAACCTTGCTCATGCTTGCAAATTATAATGTCGGGATTAAAATTTATATAACCAAAGATTGCTATGTGAAATGGGCGCAAAGGATTTCTCTATGATTTTTGGTATAGATATATATTTTAAGGTTATTTAAGTTACGGCTGAAATACTTAAAGAATATTCTCGTTAGTATAATGAACCAAGCTGTTTCTAAAAGACTTTTTATTAAAGGAAGTTAATACTGCATTTACGCTTTGAACAGTGGTTTAGAAGGTCGTTACTTTAAAACACTTGTTCCTTACAAGCAACTTTGGAACGTGCCTGTTCGATAACTCCTGCTTTAAATCTGTCCATAGTCCAGTATTAATTCAAATAGAATAGACTTTTTTCAGCTAGAAGCTTACAAGTGAATATATTTTATTCTGACAAACCGAAAATGATTACTTGAGAAATAATCCTAGAAATTACATTTCATTATATATTTTCTTTCTAATATAAGTAACTTAATAATATTGTAATATTTAACTATGGTGTGCTATCTGTCGTGCTTAATTTATTAATATTATCTTATTATACTTAATATTATTGCCTTCTTAAGAAGGCTTTTTGAAATTTATTTGCAAAGTATGATTTTTGATTTCTACATCTTTGTGTGTATACCTTTTCCTTCAATACCTGACTAATATATTCGATTAGAAAATATTTTATCTCTGTTATTAAAAAGTATTTTGTAAATATACCTCTTTAGGTTTGTGTATTTTTGGTGTTTTTTTAAGATAATTTTACCATTACATTTACAATCTCATAATAACATTGAAAGAAAATTATGTTTCATCACCGGAGCTTGGTATCTTTAGATAGTTCCCAAAATACGAAAATAAACAGCTGATTTATCATCAACTCTTATTCGTTCTTTCTTCTCAAGTTTTATCCTTATTAACATAAAACTTATTTAAGATTTCATTGTCTCCACTCAGACAACAGAACAAACGTAAATAAAAGATAGACTTATACTTCACATTTCTTCAACAAATTGTCATAAATTTTACTTGATAATCAATACAATAATATTCATGTAAGCATACTACATATACTACGGATTCTTTTTTCTCCTGTTGTTCTTAACTTGTACACCACGGATTTCAAGTCAGCGTTTACATCTATTTTTGTATTTGCCATAAGTCGCTTCCCAGAAAGATTTTCGTTAAATAGCAGAACTCGTCGGCTGAGCTGACATATGACAGTTAAAACTATCTGTGAAACGCTATCTGTATATGCGGCAAAAAAACAAACTTCAAAGTTATGGTGTTGAACATCGATAACTGGCTAAACATTTAAAACTAATATCCCCAATATTCGTGACAAAAATCGTGCTAGACTGCTGGCTTTGTTTCATATTATTCTTAATTTATCTATTATCGATTTTAAAAAATCAGAGGTGCTTAAAAATAGATTTTCAAGTTTCAGGTAGCATTGCAAGTCTTCATGCGAATTGGCGTTATCTCTTTAATGTTTATATGAAGTTATTACATTTTACGACCTCTCTCACACACTGTACATACTACTGAGTAAAAATGGTAAAATGTGTCTTAGTAGGATAGGTATATCTGTGAAAGTAAGAATGTTTAATGTTTAAATAAAGTTATTGCGTTTTACGATCTCTCACACACTTGAGTAAACATTTAGTTAATAAAACACTCAAATACAAAACTAGTTTACACTTGAAAAACTTAACCTAACGACTTCAAACAATAACAGACGGTTACATTTAGTCAGTAATTGATAAACATGTTTAATAATATACTTAACTCACATACCTCTTAATATACAATATTTTAAGACCAAGATACAATATTAGTCAGCCTCAAGAACGAACTTAGCTAGTTTAACATTAATCTAGAATTTGATACTATAAACAAGTATTTTCCCTTCATTCTATAATTGATGCCGTTCAAACAAAGCGCTTATAGCTTGCTTTGGACTAAAATA